AGGGAGCCTGCAAAAATTAAAAGAAAAAATCTCTAAATACAAAAAAATCGATGAAAAACAAAATATCAGAATTTTAAGTAAGACAAGCTGTTGTTTGCTTGTCTTATAATGCTTGTTTTATATTGTGCACTGAGAAGTTATTTCCAATCAGCTCCTGGTTTCTGGGCCATGAAGCCATCACATCCTACTTTGTACAGGTTGACAATGGTGTGTGAACAGACTGGGCAATGTGGACTTTGTATGTAGTCATTTTTTGATTTTTATTTTTTTAAGTAAACCTTATGCCCAACAAGGGGCTTGAACTCATAAAACCAGAAATCAAGAGTCACATGCTCTACTGACTGAGCCAGCCAGGGGCCTGCCCCATAGTTATTCATTTAAATTATGGGGCTTGTATTAACTTTTCCAATTTGTATATAGGAGTACGTATGTTTCTTGCTTCCGTATCCAATATGGCTTGGAATAGCACTGGATAGGTATTAAAATGTTTTGAGGGGTGCCTGGGTGGCTCAGTTGGTTGGGCGTCTCACTCTTGGTTTCAGCTCCGGTCATGATCTCATAGAATCCTGGGATCAAACCCCGACTGGCTCTGCACTCCATGTGGAATCTATTTGAGATTCTTTCCCCCTCCCTCTCCCTTTGGTCCTCCCCCCTGCTCATGCTCTATCTCTCTCTCTCTAAAATAAATAAAGAAATAAAATCTTTAAAATTTTTTTGATTGGCTCAAGTCAAACCAAAATACAGTGAAGGGTGGCACTCTGCCCTGCTCCATTCATGTCATTCCTTCTAACCCCCACATGTAATTTTCTTGCATGTTCTTTCAGTTTTGTTTTGTTTTGCTTTGTTTTGTAAAAGCAGGCATACAGGAAGTACCAACCTTTGCCTTCGTTGATGTTCTATATTGTATATCTGCTTTGTATTTTAAAACTTCTGTTCTGTATTTTTTTAAGATTTTTTTTTTATTTTATTTGAGAGAGAGCTTGAGCGGGGAGGCAGAGGGAGAGGCAGACTCCCTTTGTTTGTTTGTTTTTTAAGATTTTATTTATTTATTTGACAGACAGAGATCACAAGGAGGCAGAGAGGCAGGTGGAGGGGGGGCGGGGGGAGGGGGAAGCAGGCTCCCTGCTGAGCAGAGAGCCCGATGCAGGGCTCGATCCCAGGACCCTGGGATCATGACCTGAGCCAAAGGCAGAGGCTTTAACCCACTGAGCCACCCAGGCGCCCCTCCCTATACGTTGTTTTAGTTGTATCCACAAGCTTGAATATATTGCATCTTCATTTTTATTCAGTCAAAAAAATCGTTTTTCAATTTCTATTTTTCTTTTTTCTTTTCTCTTTGGTTACTTAATGGTGTTTTTCTTAATTTCTAGGAACTTGAGGCTTCTTCCCCCATTACCTGTTGGTGGTATCTAGATTAATCCCACTATAGTCAAAGAGGATAATATATATTATTTCAACCCATTTTCCTTTAAAAATTTTTGACTTGGAGTCATCTGGGTGGCTCAGTTAAGCATCTGCCTTCGCCTCAGGTCATGGTCTCTGTCTGAGTCCTGGGATCAAGCCCTGAGTCAGGCTTCCTGCTCTGTGGGGAGCCTGCTTCCCTCTCTCTCTCTCCTGCTGCCCCTCCCAACCGCTCATTCATTCATTCTCTCTTTCTCTCACATAAATAAATAAATAAAATCTTTTTAAAAAATTTTTTTACTTGGGTTAATTACAGGTATGGCATTTAATTTCCAAATATTTGGGCATTTCCTATCTTGTTGTATTGATCTCTACTTTCATTAAATGTAGTAGAAAATATTCTCAGTCCTTTGCATTTACTGACCTTGCTTTAAGGCCCATAACCTACCTTGGTGAACATTCCATGTGCACTTAAAGGGAATGTGCACTCTGAAGTTGTGTATAAAGTATTCTACATATGCCAGTAAATTCAACATGGTAGACAGTGTTGTTCAGCTTTTCTAGATCCTTAATATTTTTTGTGTAGATGTTCTATCAACTGCTGAGAATGGATTATTAAATTTTTTTAAAGACTCATACATTTATTTTAGAGAGAGAGCACATGAGAACACAAGCATGTGGTGGGGGTGGGGCAGAGGGAGAGAACCCTCAAGCAGATTCCCCTTTGAACACGGAGGCTGACACATGGTTCATGTTCCGTGTTCATGAACTGTGTTCATGACACATGGATCATGACCTGAGCCAAAGTCAGGAGTCAGATGTTCAGCCAACTGAGCCAGCCAGGCACCCCGGGAGTGTTAAAATTTCCAAATAATAAAATTGTGGATTGTTCTTTGTAAAAATTTAGTTCAGTTGGTTTTTACCTTGTGATTTTGGAAGCCCTGATGTGAGGCACATTATATATTAATAACTTAAAATTATTTTTTTTTTTAGATTTTATTTATTTATTTGACAGAGAGAGATCACAAGTAGACAGAGAGGCAGGCAGAGAGAGAGACAGAGAGAGAGAGAGAGGGAAGCAGGCTCCCTGCTGAGCAGAGAGCCCGATGCGGGACTCGATTCCAGGACCCTGAGATCATGACCTGAGCCGAAGGCAGCGGCTTAATCCACTGAGCCACCCAGGCGCCCCAATAACTTAAAATTATAAACCTTATTTATAATATTAACATATATTCTATATGTAATGCAGTTACACATAAGAATTCCTAACCTTGATGAATTGACCATTTTATCATTACAAAATGTCCTTCTGTATCTGTGCTGATACCCTTCTTGAATTCTATCTTATCTGATATTAATATGTCCACTCCAACTTTCTTTTGATTAGTGTTTTCACTGTATATCTCCATCTTTCAAACTTTCAACCTGTGTTTCTGTATTTAACATGTGCCTCTTTTACATATACTGGGGTCAGGCATCTTTATACAGTGTCATAATCTTTGAGTTTTATTTGGAGTGTTTCTTTTACACTTAATGTAATTACTGATTGCATTTAGCTCTACCATTTTGCTGTTTAGGATTTTTCCCATCTGTGCCTCTCTTTCTCCTTTGCCACCTTCCTTGGATTAAATTTTTTTTTTAACATGTAATTTAGTTCCTCTACTTACATTATCATTTAATGGATATTCTATAGGGATTACAGTATCATCTGTAATTTCTTTTTTTTTTAAAGTCATTTGTAATTTCTCATAATCTCCTTAGCATTGGGGCACGTGGGTGGCTCAGTGGGTTAAAGCCTCTGCCTTTGGGTCAGGTCATGATCTCAGGGTCCTGGGATCGAGTTCCGCATCGGGCTCTCTGCTTGGCGGGGAGCCTGCTTCCCCCCACTCTCTCTCTGCCGGCCTCACTGCCTACTTGTGATCCCTGCCTGCCAAATGAATAAATAAAATCTTTTTTAAAAAAATCTCCTTAGAATTATTATTCTTTGTCATATTAAATGTAGAAACTTTTAAAATTGACCTTTCCTCCCAACTACATGCCTTGAAGTTCAGTATTAATTTGTGCAAACAACTAAATTTTATTATAACTTCAGGAAATTTTTAAGATACCAACAATATAGTTGGAGTCAAAAGTTTAAGTCTTTGGGACACCTTGTGGCTCAATCAATTGAGTGTTTGCCTTTGACTCAGGTCATGATCCTGATGGGATCAAGCCCTGCATGGGGCTCCCTGCTCAGTTAGGAGTCTGCTTCTCCCTCTCCCTCTGCTCCTCCCCCAACTAGTGCTTGCTCATTCTCTCTCTCACTTTTTTTGTCTCAAATAAATAAATGACATCTTAAAAAAAAAAATTCAACTCTTTGAGGTTCTCTCCTAGTCACTCTATCTCCACTCCTGATTCCTGGTGTGGAGGTCCTCCTCTTGTTTCTTAAGGTTAATATTTGCCACCAGTGGACCACAGGTAGCAAGCACGATATATGATCCTCATAGGCAGAAGTGGTTGAGAAAGCTTTATCCAGGCTTAAAGGGTGAGGGCCAGAGCAGAAGTTAGTATCAGGAAGCTCAATTCACACAAAGTCAGAGAAAACAAAAAAGCTCCGAACAAGGGGCACCTGGGTGGCTCAGTGGGCTGAATGAAGCCTCTGCCTTCAGCTCCGGTCATGATCCCAGGGTCCTTGGATCGAGCACCACATCGGGCTCTCTGCTCAGCAGGGAGTCTGCTTCCTCCTCTCTCTCTGCCTGCCTCTCTGCCTACTTGTGATCTCTGTCTGTCAAAAAAATAAATAAAATCTTTATTAAAAAAAAGTTTATAAAAAAATTTTTTTAAAAAGGTCCAAACAAAAGGATCCAAAGTCAGGAAAGAAAGAAAGAGAGAGAGAGAGAGAGAAAGGAAGAAAAGAGGAAGGAAGGAAGAAGGAAAAAAAGGAAGGAAAGAAAGAAAGAAAAGGAAGGAAGGAAGGGGACATTTTATAATTAGCAACATAAAGAAAAGGCAGAAATAAGGACACAAAGAGCTCTTGAGAGCTGACACAGATTGTTATTATCCTTTCAAGCTGCCTGTACTCCTCATACCTTACTGAAATGATCCTTTAGCCTCAAGTACTGGTCAGGCTGCTCCTCTGATTTGTTTTTCTATAATATCAGATGCTTAGCTTCTGAGTCTGTTTCTCTGACTGAACCAGACTTCCTCCTTCTGTGCTTCTCTAGGATTTCTCTGTACTGCTTCAGCTTTTTGGGATTTGTTACTGTACTTCTTGTCCTCTTCCCCTACCTAATAACCTTTCGAGGAAGAGAGCTATTTTTTGCGTGACACAGCCTCATGTTTTTGTAGTATACCCTGTAATACTTAGAACAGGTCTACACAATTAGGAGAAAATACATAATCCCCCCCCTTTTTTTAAGTAAAACCTCGCCCAACATGGGACTTGAACTCACAACCCACAGATCAAGAGTTGCATGCTCTACCCACTGAGCCACCTGGGTGCCCTGAGACTACATAGTTACTTCATAAATTTACTGCATTCTATTCATCATGAATTTCTTTGTGTTGATGAAAGGCTGAACGCATGTTAAAGGTTTTCTCACATTTCTTACACTTGTAGTGTTTTTCTCCCGTATGGGTTTTCTGGTGTTGAATAAGAGATGAACTCTGGCTGAAGGCTTTGTCACAATCATTGCATTTATACGGTTTCTCTCCAGTATGAGTTCTCACGTGCTTTGTAAGAGATGAGCTCTGGCTGAAGGCTTTCTTGCATTCTTTGCATTTGTAAGGTTTCTCTCCAGTATGAATTCTCTGATGTCTTACAAGAGCTGAGCGGTCACTGAAGGCTTTCCCACATTCATTACATTTGTAAGGTTTCTCCCCAGTATGGGTTCCTTGGTGTTGAATAAGAGCTGAACAGTAACTGAAGGCTTTCCCACATTCACTGCATTCATATGGCTTTTCCCCTGTATGAGTTCTCTGATGTTGAGTGAGGCCTGACCTGTCACTGAAGGCTTTCCCACACTCTGTACATCCATAGGGTTTTTCTCCAGTATGAACCCTTTGATGTTTAATAAGGGATGAGGTATCATTGAAAGCTTTCCCACATTCCTTGCATTTATAGGGTTTCTCTCCAGTATGGATTCTGTGATGTTGAATAAGGTATGTGCTTTGGTTGAAGGCCTTCCCACATTCATTGCACTCGTAGGGTTTTTCTCCAGTATGAATGATATGATGTTGGATAAGAGCTGACCGATGACTGAAAGCCTTCCCACACTCGTTACACTCATACGGTTTCTCTCCAGTGTGAATCCTCTGATGCTGAATAAGTGATGAGCTCCGACTGAAGGCCTTTCCACACTCATTACACACATAAGGCTTCTCTCCAGTATGAATTCTCTGATGGAGGATGAAGGCTGAGTAGTAACTGAAGCCCTTCCCACATTCATTGCACTTCCAAGGCTTTTTCACTGAGTAAATGTGATGTTGAATTGGGCTTGAACTTTCACCACTTTCATTACAATCCTCCACAGGGGTTTTCTTGCGTTTAATTATGATTTGCCTTAAGTCTTTCTTCGGATTTCCTTGCCGCCTTTCTAATGTGTCTTCGCATTGCCAGGTTTCTATCAGTCTGGAGTCCCAGGACTCATCCTTCTTAAGTCTCTCCATTATCAGATCTCTTTCAGATGACATTTCATCATAAAGTCCCTGCTTCGGAAAGTATTCTTTAGTTTCAGGTATAGATTCAGAATCTGAAATAAACAAAAAGTACAAATATTTGTGTTCTCTGTGTTGAAAGAAAAAAAATGACTGAGTTGGCAAAAGGAAAAGAAAATAAAAATGACACTTATTAAACATATTTTTAGCGTGTTTTCAGAAAGCACCTCCTGGGGCATTTGAAAGGTGGCTCAGTTGTTAAGTGTCTGCCTTCAGCTCAGGTCATGATCCTGGGGTCCTGGAATCGAGCCCATTGGGCTCCCTGCTCTATGGGAAGCCTGCTTCTCCCTTTCCCACTCCCCCTCCTTGTGTTCCCTCTCTTACCATGTCTCCCTCTGTCAAATAAATAAATAAATAAATAAAATCTTTAAAAAAAAAAAAAAAGAAAGAAAGAAAGAAAGAAAGCACCTCCTGGCAATGGCAGAGGGAGTCTCAGGGACTAACAGAGATGGGAGAATGGCTATTACAAGACACAAGAAGAGGACGATGAGGAGCATCTACCTAAGAGAATGGAAAACTGAGCAGACAAGTCAGGAAGGAGGAGAGCCTGGTGGGATGAGAATAAACATTGATATAAAATATCTGAGGAAGGGTGGGAAGAGGAAAAGTTGAGATTGGGCAGTTTTGAAAAAGTACAAGAAAAAAAAATCACTTCTAATAATCACCTGAAAATAACCACTTTTTGAAATTTTAAATAGTTCCCTCTGGTCCCCCTTTCTTTTCTTTTCTTTCTTTTTTTTTTTTCTTTCTTGAGAGAGAGAGAGAGCAGGGGGCAGGGGGTGGAGGGGCAGAGGGAGAGGGAGAGGGAGAATCTAAAGCAGGCTCCATGCCCAGCATGGAGCCCAGTGAGAGGGCTCAATCTTACAACAATGAGATCATGATCTGAGCTAAATCAAGAGTCATACGCTTCACCGACTGAGCCACCCAGCTGCCCCACTCCAGTCCCTTTTTAAAGGCACAGACTTTTTTCATGTTCACCATACATTTTATTATTTTTTTTTACCATACACTTTAAATACGATTTTGTGTTTCCACTAACCACTGCCCCCTCCTTTCCTTCCTTCTCTCCTTCTTCCCTTCCTTTCTTCCTCCTTTCTTTCTTCCTTATTTTTTTTGTCATACCCAAATTTCTCAAAAAGCTTTCGTACATTTTCTTATCACATCCTTGCTCCTGTTCTCAATTCTCTCCCTACTGCTCAGTTGCAACTGCTCTCACTGAAGTTACTAACCATTTAGAGGTCACCCAAACCCAGTGGATTGTTTTCATTCCTTGTTTAGCTTGGCCTCTCAATAGCACTTGACAGTGGTGACCTTGCCTCCTTCCTAACAACATCCCCCCCGCCTTCCTTCCCCAACTTCATTTGGATATAATTGACATGTGTTCTCTCTTGACTTCTGTGATTCTAAGCTGTCAAGGGTTTACTCCTGATCTCTATTTATTTGGGACTTCCTCTGTTTCTTCTTCTTTTTTTTTTTTTTTAAGATTTTATTTATTTATTTATTTGTCAGAGAGGGAGAGAGAGAGAGCGAGAGAGCACACAAGCAGGCAGAGAGGCAGGCAGAGGCGGAGAGAGGAGCAGCCTCCCTGCTGAGCAAGGAGCCCAATTCGGGACTCAATCCCAGGACTCTGGGACCATGACCTGAGCCGAAGGCAGCAGCTTAACCCACTGAGCCACCCAGGTGCCCCCCTCTCTTTCTTCTTAAATGTTGATGTTCCTGGTATTCAATCTAACCTCTCCTTTGTTGCTCCTCCCCATCCCCCACAACATTGTCTCCATTAAAGACCTCATCCAGTCCATGGTATTCATTGCTTTTTTAGAAAAATTGAAATATACTTGACATGTAAATTTAAGGTACACAACATGGTAATTTGATATATTCATATAATATGATTGCTGATGTAGTGACAGCACCTCAATTACATCACTTATTTTCACACAATTATCCTCTTTCTCCTGACAGTTTATCTTTGTTCTGTAAAAGAACTGGTGATGGGGCACCTGGGTGGCTGAGTTCGTAGAGCATCTGCCTTCGGCTTGGGTCATGATCCCAGGGTCCTGGGATCAAGCCCCGTGTTGAGCTCCCTGTTCAGCAGGGAGTCTGCTTTTCCCTCCCCGTCTGTCTCTTCCCCTACTCATTCTCTTTCTCTCTCAAATAAATTAATTAATTTTAAAAAATGGGTCCAATGTATATGCTGGCCACAAGAAACTTACGTTAAATAGGTTTTTAAAAATAGAAAAAATAGGGGCGCTTGGGTGGCTCAGTGGGTTAAAGCCTCTGCCTTCGGCTCAGGTCATGATCCCAGGGTCCTGGGACCGAGCCCCGCATCGGGCTCTCTGCTCAGCGGGGAGCCTGCTTCCTCCTCTCTCTCTCTCTGTCTGCCTCTCTGCCTCCTTGTGATCTCTGTCTGTCAAATAAATAAATAAAAATCTTTTTTTTTTTAAGATTTTTTTTTTTTTAATTTATTTGTCAGAGAGAGAGAGGGAGAGAGAGCAAGCACAGGCAGACAGAATGGCAGGCAGAGGCAGAGGGAGAAGCAGGCTCCCTGATGAGCAAGGAGCCCGATGTGGGACTCGATCCCAGGACGCTGGGATCATGACCTGAGCCGAAGGCAGCTGCTTAACCAACTGAGCCACCCAGGCGTCCCTAAATAAATAAAAATCTTAAAAAAAAAATAGAAAAAATTAAAAAAATAGAAAAAATATACTATGCAAACAGGAACCCAGAGTGGCTATATTATTATCATACAAAATAAAACTCCACATAAATACTACCAAGGTTAAAGAGGGACATTAAAAAATTCACCAAGAAGATAATTTGTTATGTGTATATATCTAACAAAAGAGTTTCAGGTACATTAAGCAAAATACTTTAAGCAAAATCTGATAAAACTAAAAGGAGAAATAGACAATCCCACAATTATAATCAGAAAATTCAACACTTCTCTGTCAGTAATCAGTAGAAGCCAGTAGACAGGAAATCAATAAGGATACAGAAGATCTGAATACTCTCAACCAACTTGACCTAATTAAATTTATTTTCAAGTTCACAGGGAACATTCATCAAGACTATATTATGGGTAATACAACAAATGTCAGAAATTTAAAAGAACTGAAATCAAACAAAGTATCTCTGACCACACAGAACCAAACCACAGAATTGAAAACAAATTTTATTGAAAATCTTCTAAAATTTGGAAATCTGTAAATAACCCATGAGTCAAGGAGGAACTGACAAGTGAAAATAGAAGTTATTTTGAACCACCATGGGGTGCCTGGGTGAAAACACCATGGGGTGCCTGGGTGGCTCAGTGGGTTAAAGCCTCTACCTTCAGCTCAGGTCAAGATCTCAGGGTCCTGGATTCGAGCCCCACATCAGGCTCTCTGCTCAGCAGGGAGCCTGCTTCCTCCTCTCTCTCTCTCTGCCTGCCTCTTTGCCTACTTGTGACCTCTATCTGTCAAATAAATAAATAAAATCTTTTTTAAAAAAATGAAAACACCACCTATCAAAATTGTGGAATGCAGCCAAAGCAGTCCTTAGAAGGAAATTTATAGCATTAAATGTTCATATTAAAAGAGAAAAAAATCATATACTAGTGATTAGGCTTCTACCTTAAGAAACTAAAGGAAGGAGAGAAAATTAGACCTAAAGTTAGCAAAGGGGAAAAATAGTAAAGATAAGAGCATCAATGAATAAAAGTGAAAACAGAAAACAATAGAAGGAATCAATGAAATCAAAAGTCAGTTCTTTGAAAAGATCAATAAAACTGTTAAACTCTTAAGAAAACAAATAAAACAGAGAAAATATAGATTACCAATATCAGGAATGAAAGATGGTAAATCATTACCAGAGCTCACTTAAGAAGAAACAGATCATCTGAATGGTCCTATCTCTAGCAAGGGACCAGGATTCAAGGTTAAAAACCTTCCAAGAAAGCCAACCTAAGACCCAGATGGCTTTATTGGATTGAGCTTTTTTTTTTTAATATTTTATTTATTTATTTGACAGACAGAGATCACAAGTAGGCAGAGAGGCAGGCAGAGAGAGAGGAAGGGAAGCAGGCTCCCTGCTGAGCAGAGAGCCCAATGCGGGACTCCATCCCAGGACCCTGGGATCATGACCTGAGCTGAAGGCAGAGGCTTTAACCCATTGAGCAACCCAGGTGCCCCATGGATTGAACTTTTGATATCCTATCTAATAAAATTTTGCCTTACAAAGGTCACAAAGACTGTCTTTAACAGTTCCTCTAGGTTTTATACTTAGGTCTGTGATCCATTGAAAGTAACGTGTATGGTGGGAGGTATGGATATTTCTTTTGGCATATAGATGTTCAATTAATTGTTCCAGTACTATTTACTGGAAAGATTCTCCTTTTAGCACTGAGTTGATTTTTCCATCTTTATCAGAAATTAATTGACCATATATGTGTAGGTCTATTTCTGGACCATCTGTTCTGTTCCATTAATTTGAACCACAGGGTTTTGAGTACTATAACTTTATAAATCTTAAAACCAATGTAATGAAACTGTCCTTTTTCAATACCGGAGACAGTGAACTTGTACTTGTCAAAAGAGAAAAGAAGCCATTGCTGAGCCCAGAGTGATCAGGGATCTCCTAGGGCATTAATGCTTTCTGGATCTGAAGCAAAACTGTGGCATTTTCGATGCCATTAGTTACAGAAGAAGCTTATGTCCCAGTAAGGAGTTTGCATTACAGAATAACTTCCTTACCCCAAAATACCAGGCTCCCACAATTCTCCACTTTCATATCCATGCCCATGTACCTTTGGGCAGAATTCAGCTGTTCTTCTTCTACATGAGTGAAGTCCATTTCCTCATCCTTGACTGTCACCAATTCCTGGAAGAGCAAGCACATTCTTATAGGACTTAGGGAAGAGAACAATCTAGAAGAGGAAGTATTTTTTAATCTGAAGGTTAAATCTTTATTTTAATGGAATAGTCTAAAATTTCTAAGTATTAGTCTGTGTTAAGGAAAATAATATC